TTCTGTCCCCGTGCTTTCATAAAACCACCTTTTTGCACCCAAGATGACCCCATCAACCTCACCAACATTCTAAAAACTGCATCACTAATATTGACCCCAATTTATTTCTTTACCCTGAAAGGATGACAAATAAAAATCCAAGATAAGTCTCTGTTTGTTTTACATCCTACAATTCATTACTTCTAAAGGCATTGTTCATTCACTTATTGGAAGTTTATTCAATCCTTGAAAAATGTGCCATGTACCTAATTCATAACCCTCCTCCAAAGGAGGGATGGGAAGCAAAGCATGTAAAACTTTAATGTAAAGAATTGCATTAAGCAATTCGATAATTTTTTTTTTGTCTTTCAAATACAAACTTTATACTCATACTGATTACTAGTGAAAGAGCTTGAAACAGTCCTGAAAAACAGCTTTTTGGAGTAAAAGGGTCTAATGATAGATCAAAAATATCTTAACATCTGGGGCTATTGCTAGGAAATACTGTTTTACCAAAACTATGGATTCTGACATGTACCGTAGATGAATAGATGAATGTCCTTAAATTTTAATATGCATAAGTAACACAAGGCACCTAGTACATTCGGGGTGGGGCCAGGACCCCGCGCGCTCAACCATCAATGCTAAATAATCGAGAGTACGGGTATCCATCCCCGTCTCCAAGTTACCTCTGCTGACTTGCGACAAATAGCTCTCTGATAAACATACAGTGTTAAGCACAAGGGGAAAAAATAGCACAACAGCGACTACTGACCTCTAAACAGAACCACAGGTTCTGAGGATTCAAAGAGACTTTAAAACAGTGCACCCAAACCCCATCCTCACACTGGCCCTATGAGACGGGGCCGAACACTTCACAACAGTCCCCGTGGGTCAACAGGCTTCCTTTGGGACTTCTGCGGCCCGTGCAGGATCTGCTGCCGTGTTTACTTCAGTCTCCTGAAGGACGGGCTGTGCCCTCACCATCCCTCAGAACATGGGATGATGAGCCCACAGGTGAGGTGGGGAGCTGCCTCTCCCCGAGACCATGGAGGGAACAGGTGCGTCCTGCGCTGTGGCTGGTTTTGGGGGTAAGTCCTGTGTCATCGGGAGAGCACTGCTTGATCCTAAACGCCCGGGTCCCTTGCGAGTTTAAGATGGTGATTCCAGGGGCGCCTGGCTGGCTCTGTTGGGAGAGCATGAGACTCGTGATCTCAGGGTCGTGCGTTCAAGCCCCACGCTGGGGGTAGAGCTTACTTAAATAAATAAATAAGTTAATTAATTAATTAATTAATTAATTTTTAAAAGATCGAAATTCCAGTTCAACTTCATTGTCACTAACAGGTGTTTGCTGAGTATTTCATGACTGGAGGCAGTTAAATCTACACCGGGTCGTGACCTGTTTTGCTGTAATCACATGGTTGTCAGTGATATACCACATAACGGGCAACAAAGGAGGGGCGCAAAGAAGAGACAAGGCAGAGCTGGTTCCCAAGGCTGGGGTGCAGCGCAGGGACCCCCCTCGGGGGCCACTGCTGCCTTACGGAACTCCACCCCAAAAGCGAAGAGGAAGGGCTGGACGGTGCGTGGACCTGAGTGCGAGCAGCAGCAGCAACTTCAATTTGCAATTTGCTTTCTCTTTTACCAAACCCTTGCTCTCAGACCTTCTCATGTGGTTCTCCAAACAGTGCTGTGGGACAGGTATGATTGTCCCCATTTGGTAGATGGGGACGGTGAGGCTCAGGGAGGCCGAGGGCTCTTGAACCTCAAGCCCAAGGCTCTTCCCACTCCTCCCATGTTGCTTTGCTCAGGGACGCAGGTGCAGCTGGGGCAGGGGCAGGGGGTAGAATGCACGCCTCTGTCTCCCCTTGTGGAAGAGTAAAGGTTTGAATTAGCCGGGCGCTCCAGTTTCTTCCTGATCTCCAGGCCTCATTTCTCTGGGCAGAGCCGGGCTAAAGCTCCAACACAGGCCAACCGGGAACTTGGTGGGGAGGCACTTGGGAGTAGACACAAATGGCTGAAATTTCTTTACAAGATCGTCATTTCCTTCCTGACAGCCTTCTCCTTGCTCTGAGCTCTTTGTTTGCACCCCTGTCACCCACTCATGCAAATTGGTGCATCATCGCTTGCGAGCCAAGCTAGAGATGTGTGCAAACAACACCTGTTCCCCTCTGCCCAGGAGCGGGCACGAAGACCTCATTTGTGCGAGGGTGACACAAGTTCACACCGAGCCTCGGGAGCTGCGCACACCCTCTTCTGCTCGCCTCCAAGTCTTGGGGCTGCTCTCAGGGCAGCGCCAAGTGTTTGGGACTATCTCTTCATAGAATAATTTCCAGGGACTCTTTCTCGGGTATGAGTAAATGGAAAACCTGTCTCATCCCAGGACGTAGGTCTCTGGAGAGACGGTGGGTGCTGCTAACGCGTGCTGAGACTCCCCCATGGTGAACAAGTGCGCCACACTTCTTTCCCCCACAGACTGTCCTTACGCATTTACCTCCTCTTTTGCTGCTTGATTTGGGTTATTTACTGTCTTGGCACATGAACTTCCATGAATGCATGTCCCCCAATATTCATATGTTGAAGCCTGACCCCTTTGGGGGTAGTTAGGTCATGAAGACAGAGCCTCCGTGAATGGGGTTTGTGCCCGTATGAAAGGCTCCAGAGAGACCCCTTGCCCCTCCACCATGTGAGGACACAGCGAGAGGGGACCGTCTATGAACCAGAAAGTGCCCTGTTATTGGAAGTGAACACAACTGAGTAGAGACCATACCATGTTCATGGATTGGAAAACACAACATCACAGAGAAGAGCCAAGATGGTATTGCCCAGCGATACAGAGGGTGTGCCCTGCCCGGTGTCCAGTCCTGTCACAGAGCAGCTGGGACTGAGGGGACGTGGTGGCAACCCAAGTAGAGACTGAAAGTCAGGAAGCCATGGGGTCAGCCCCGAAACTGCCCCGTAGGTGTGGAAACATGACATGTGACCGAGGAGGCATCTGGGAGTGAGAGCCAGCAGCCAGAACAGCTTACGCTAGAAGCAGAAATCACAAGGACAGATCCAGAGATGGGAACCAGGTGGGAAGAGTCAGGCAAGAATCCGAGTGCTCACGCTGGAACGCAGACACGGCCCAGCTAGGACAGGGAGGACATTCTACATTGTTCCTTGATCCAGGACTGACTCTTTAACGTGTTTAGAAAATACACACACGGTATAGAGTAAATCATCAGGAGGAATAAAGAAGGGTAACCATAATCTCCTCTCTCAGGAAGCCTGAGGCCTCTCTAGCGGGGACGACTGGACAGGTACACAATCACTATAATTCAAAGCAAAATGTGTTAGTTTAGGACCCAGGCGGGGCCAGCACATGGGAGTCCAGGGGAAAGATAGCAATGCACACACGCAGCACGCTCTGGTAAAGTCGACGGCGCTCCTTCTCACAGGCTGCTGGCTGGAGCTCCTCCGTGGTCTGGCAGGGGGACAGGCTGAACACCAGCACCCCCACTGGCCACATGCAGAAACCTAGAGGCAGCGAGGCACACAAGGTGGGCCAGCCAGCAAACGGGAGAAGGAGAAAACGCAGTTCTCTGAAGTGAAGGAAGGAGAGCTTACCTGCTGCATCAAATTCACCCCAATTGGAGCAATCAAGAAAGACTTCATGGAAGAAGCCACATTTGGAATAAGCCTTAAAGGTCGAGAAAGGCTTGTTATAGGTAGAGGAAGGAAAGACCTGAGTGGGAGAAGACTCCTGCCAGGGGCCCCTGGGGAGGCAGAAAGCCTGGCTTCATCTCGGACTGTGTTGCCTGGAGCGTCTAAGGAGCAGACCACGGGCCTGCCGGGCGTGGCCGGGGGAAAGTGTTGGTGCCAGAGAACTGGAGTCCAGATTACAGACGGGAGAGGAAGGGACGTGGCAGGAAGCGGGGGAGCCGTTCAGAGATGGGCTCTCTGCGCCAGAGCCCGCAAGATGAGCTGGGATGCAGCGGCCCCTGGGAAGGCCGCGGCGTGGCGGGCTCTGTGGGCATCTGCATCTCAGGTTGGCGACAGGAGAAAAGAATTCGTTGTGTCATTCAGAAAAGTTTTCCGTGGGTGGTTGGGCTCCCTGACCGTGAACATGGGGGTTTCCAGAGAGCCAGTTCTCCTTTCCTTGGCTCCCAGCTTCCCCGAGCCGTCCAGCGGGGCCTCGGCCTCTGCCACTGTCCCGTCCCTCTCACGTAGCCCCCGAACCAGACGCCACAACGAAAACACTCAGTGTTTATAGCCCCGAAGTTTTTTAATGTGCTTTCAATACCTTAATAAACACTCTGCACAAATTCCACACTGGGAAAAAAATTTTTTTGAACTGTTCGCCCCTGCAATAGCCAAGCATCCCAAATGTCACTTGGGCGCACCTTGTGAACGTACTAAAATCCACTGAACTGTACACTTTAAAATGGTGGGTTTGACGGCATGTGAGTTCCGAGTCAAGAAGAAGACACGAGGAGGGGCACCTGAGTGTCTCAGATGGTTAAGCGTCTGCCGTCGGCTCAGGTCATGATCCCGGGGGTCCTGGGATCGAGCCCCGTGTCAGGCTCCTCGCTCTGTGGGGAGCCTGCTTCTCCCTCTCCTCCCCACTTGTGCTCTCTCTCATTATCTCTGTCTCTCTCTCTCAAATAAGTAAATAAAATCTAAAAATTAAAAAATTAAAAAAAAAAAACAAAA